TTGGCCCAGGAACAATTTTCACTTAATGGGCGGCTGCGATTTCATTAGTAAAATTATGAGTAATTCCGGCCTAATTTCTTGATCGTCGCTTTTGGCCTACCATTTTGTTGGGGTTAATCGGATATACAATGCTGTTCATTAACCTAGTTACTATTAGTATCTGTATTGGTATAAATCGTATGTTTAGCACAAAAATTTTATGCAAAAAATTTACTATTTTTAATCCTTAGTCCTACTATATATATTCTATTTTCCAATAAATATTGTTGAGCGCTGTTTTTGTTTGTTTGTTTTTTTTGTGAACTTAAAATAGTAGTTTGAGAACACCTATAGTTATTATATACTATTCTCATGGGAACAGTATTTGGATCTAAAATTTCAAACACTGGTCATATTCGGTCACAAATGTGCAATTTTAGTCACGAATGAAAAAGAGATATTTAATCAAAAGCATGGATTTGCATAATAACACTTAACTCGCCATTAAGCCATACTCTACATACTTCGTACTCCGTTCCTGGTATAAACTCTGTGATATTGCATACCACACCCTTCTTGATATTATCAAAATAACAAAATTTCACTAGATATATATTTATATAGATTTTTGATGCACGTACTGATTGTGTATAAAGAAATATTTACTAACTTCTGATCAAATTCTAGTTCTAATTAGCATAGTTCTACTGGGCTGGACAGTGATCAACACTGCCGTCAGCCATTCACCGACAGCTCGTTTAGCCGTAATGAATAGAATAAAACAATCCCTAGTAATTCCATGATAATAAAGAAAATAAAAGAATTACGTTATGATAAGTTTTCATAGAAATGTTTTCAATTGATGGAACTAATAAATAACAATTTATAGTAACAATTTAGACAATACAGTAGGTAATTATCTAAGGTCACATCTTCTATACCAAGAGAACATATCTCTATTCTTTGACGTTACGTCGTAAAATCGGTTTTCAAAATAATTTCAATAAAATTGATGAAGCCCCATCACTTGAGGCTTCAGCGAATATCATATACAGTCAGACTCTAAATATAACTCGTTAAGACAAACTTTTGATAACATAAATTAGAGATCTATAGAGATCTATAAGAAAATTTGCAATTATGTGACATAGTAATTACTATGTCACGTAAGGCCATTTTTAATGCAAAACCCATATGTTATGAATATCTTCAGATAATCAAAGATGCCTCCTCTTGATATAAGAGATGATCACTTTGGATTTAATAATCAAGAGTCCGATTTATCGAGTGTTGACCATAGTGTTCATAGGAATATTTTCGTATGATTGGCTGTTTAAATCAATTTAAGTTTACATTATTTATACAGTTTAAAGTACTTTTTAAAAAAAATAAACCTATGAAAAATAAACAAAAAAGAAGCATATAAAAAGGTTTATTAGGGTTGTAGGACTCAACCATTAAAAATAATCAAAATCATTTCTGGTTTTAGAGAAGTTAGCATAATAGCGACTTCTTAAAGATAGATAGAATTAGGTTATTAACTTGTTAACTTCTCTAAAACAAAAAGGTATTTTGATTATTTTTAATAGTGGAGTCCTACAACCCTAATAAAACTTGCTATATACTTCTTTTTTGTTTATTCTTCGTAGTTTTATTTTTATTAAAAAGTACTTTAAACTGTATAAATAATGTAAAATAAATTGATTAAACAGCAATCATACGAAAGTCTTCCTATGACCATAGTGTAATGTTTAACAATCAATGTTGTATGTAACGTACGTACGTACGTACACTTTGGATGGCTGAATATTTTGTTGTACAGTCCGTTGGACCGTTTGCCAGTGCCCGACTCTCATCTAACTCATAAATCCATCTTAAATGCAAGAGTTAATTCTGAACAATTCTAAGTAATAATAGAAAATGGGTCATGATGATAATATCATTATATGATTCTTTTTGAGAAAAGCCAAGCTTTAATTTGTCCATTTTTAGCAATACTTGTTTTGCCACTTGGTGCCACGCTCGATGACTTTATTTTTAGCAGTACTGAGGTAGTACGGCGTAAGTTGAGCTAATGTAGTTATATTAATCCTCAGACGGGAATCGAAACACAAGTGAGATTCGAATCACAAAACAAATAAGATGTAAGTTTCAGGCAACAATTAAGGAAAAGGACTCTCGTGAATATTTATTTATATACATATGTATGAATAATCAAGTTTTCTATACAAAAATAAGCTAATTTTTTTTTTATTTCATTGATTTATTATTATCTTTAGATTATAATAAAATAATAAATCTTATAATAATAAATTATCTTATAATTATCTTAAACTATTTTATAATAATTGAATAATAATCTTATGAAAATCTTATAACTATCTTATTCATCCTTTAAACCGTCACTAGTTAGCAGACAAATTTGTTTTAAAATTGTTAAATTTGATCTATTTTTGTTAAAATTTAGAATATTTAAAAAAAAATTTATATAATAATATTTAAAAATAAGGATTATAAAATAGTACCATAAATTGCCATATACAAGACCCCATGATAGTACCCACCACTTAGTATATCTAGATGCGAATTATGGGATCTATTTTATCAACCATGGGTTTTTTCAAATATCTGGATTGCCTATTATAAATGCAAATCGTGCATACTCTTCAAAGTTTTTCCTCTTCGTGACATGAGCTCTCAGATGTATACTTGACCCGGGTTTATTATAGGTTTTAAAATGGTGTTGTATATAGTGATTTATAATAATATTAACTGTCTGACCTCGTTATAATCACCAGGTTGAGAAACAAAATTTTGGTGATTATAAAAGTTGTGACTAAATAAAGGTCAAATTTTATATGTTTTATAATAGCATGACCAAAAAAATAATTTGATTATAACAAGGATGTGAATATATTGAGAGTGACTATAACGAGGTCAGACTGTATTTTAAATTACAGTCTGACCTCGCTATAGTTACTCTAAATATAGCCACAGCCTTGTTATAATCACATTATTTTTTGGTTCATGCTATTATAAAACATATAAAATTTGACCTTTATTTAGTTACAACTTTTTATATTCAACAAAATTTTGTTTCCCAACCTGGTGATTATAACGAGATCAGACTATATAGATAAAAAAAATAAAGCTGTCTATAAAAATCCTTTTTTTTAAAAAAAAAATTATTTTTACTCATTGACAAACTCTTTAAAATTATAAGCATAATATAATTTTAATACAAAATTATAGAATTTGTTTTAAAAAATAATTTTAATTAAAAAATTTTTATAGTTTTATAAATAAATTTTTGACTTAGTAGTAAAGAAAAAAAAATTTCTTTAGAAACATATAAATATTTAAATTTTTTTAAATAAAATTTTGAAATAACTAAATTTTAGATTAAATATTTTTTATAATTTTAAAATTAAATTATAAATTTCATAGATAATAATTAAAAATATTCAAATTTTTATTTTAGCTTAAAAATAGAAATATGTTCTTAAAAAATTTTAAGTACTGTAATTATAAAAATAATATTAGCTTAAAAGATAATAATCCTAAACAATAATCTTATAATAATCTTATGATTATCTTTGTATATTAAATTCATAATAAAAAAATATTATATTAATAGTTATCTGTTATACATTTGTACTAAATTTAATATATTTTTTGAGCCAGCTATTTAATAAATTTATTTGAATTTTATTAAAATAAATTTAATATTAAACTAATATTTGTATACAATTTAGATAATATTTATTGTCATGGATTATGGTGAAATCAGATTATTGTAAAATCTAGGGCCTTAATTTAAAACTATAAGCCCTCACAACCCTAACAAAACTGACATATGCCCTTTATTATAAATCCTAACCTTAAATGCTACAGTAGTCTGGATTCAAAAAAAAAGCCTAAAAAATTATACTTCAAAAAATTTTAAAAAAATTATAATTTTATGATAATTCAGATTTCATGATTATCCGTGACATTTATTAAGTTTTAAAGCTATTGTTTTATTAAAAAAATTTGCTGTGCTTAATTTAGTACAGTAATAAAAGTTGATTTTGCTAAAGATTTTGATAAAATTATAAAAATATAAAATTTTTAAATTATTTTAGTTCTAATTTATTTGTAAAAAAATTATTTTATTTAAAAATAATTTTCTAAAATTGTTTATATAAGCCAGTCTTAAGGTAATACAAGTTTAAGTATAATTAGTTTACACTTTTACTAAAAACGCACTTATGGTGTTTTACCACCTATAATGCATTATTTTAAAAACTAGCTAATTAATTAATATACA